ATAGTCCAGTGGCAGAACTTTTGCCAAGCGTGTCAGAGGTTATGGGTTCTAATCCGGACTAATATAGTTTTTTTTTTTTCCTCATTAAAGCCGATTATGTTTATCAGTGGTTGTATATATAGCCCAGAACACACCAAGCCGACGAGATGAGACGAACTAGCGCTGATGAAAGCCGACTGTGTTGTCGCCTCTCGTCCGCTCTCGTCAGGGTAAAAAGCTGCACTTGAACACACCGAGAGAACTACAGTCGACTGCCAGCTATAATGTGCAATGAGCCAACTGTCTATTTCTGCAGATATATTAGTCTATATTCGTCATTCAAAAAGGAAAACCGACGCTGCCGGCTGGAGATACACATAACGTAAACAAAGCAGCGTGTGCTTACCGTTTTGAATATCAATCCTGCTAAACACTTTCTTTAATCCACTCCGCACAAGTTAGTATTGAAATATTCACCAAGGAACACTTAACATAAGAACAGCCTTCTATCTTTACCGTTTTGACTTGTTTGCTTGCTATTTTGCTTTTATTCTCGTACACTGACTGTTTCACTAAGCTGAACAGCCAATCAGAGTTCTCTCTTTCCCCGACGGTCCGACGCCGATTCAACATGTCGAGTCGGGCGAAACAAAGCCGACAAGGACTATTTTTAGCCGACGGCACGGAACCGTGACGAAACTTATTTGGACGACACAAAAACAACCGTCGGCTTGGTGTGTTCCAGGCTTATCATCAAGCAGGGACACGTTTGTGTGCATTTTACTTTGTGATTTCACTGGAACAAATATAGAGTCTCCGCAACGGATTAAAGCATGCGTCTGTGTGAAGACTGTGTGCGGCAGAGTGAGCCACTGTATCCGCGCCAGTGATCGCAGAGTCAATGAGCACTTTGATCACTTGGTTTCAAAAACAACACGTTTCAGCGCTAGATCACCTCTTATTTAACAAACGAGCTAAATTAATGTTCTGCTAGTTAACTAGAGATATTTAATTTTTTTGTATTATTTACATCCAGGCTGCGAGATGTTTCAATAGTGTTTGGGACAATATCGATCCTGGCAAAAAGTGGTGGGGACATGTCCCACCCGTCCAACCTGCAAATTACGCCTATGCTTGAAAGCTCTTGATAGTGACGTGAACGTAATCTTGTGACGTTAAATGTTACTTGTAGATGGGCAGCTTCGTTCGTCATTGCTGCCATAACTTTCCTGTTAGGTGACGTCAATGCAAATGTTCATCCCCCTTTTTTTCTTTGAGTGCATTAATCTTGTGATTAATCTCATTTAGTCTATGTTCTATAGTGCCAGTTTGCATACTGCCTTGGCATAGTTTAGGATCTCTGTTCACAATGGGGCTTAGTGGCACTATTGTGTTTGTTAGGGCCTGACAGAGTAATTTGCCTACGCTAGCAGACTGTTCAGTAAAGAGTTGATGGAAAATTCCAGTAAATTCCATAGCTGACCTTAGTGTAGAGGTCTGTGTGCTCATCCTGAGGTCATGTGTTCCTCCCTCTGTTGACTTTTGTCTAATAATATGTTAAAATCTGTTGTTTGCTGTCATACTAGACCTCTCTGGAATGGACACACTTTAGTTCCATACTAAAGAAATGCAAATAGGTTTAAAAGTTTGGCATCAATGTTTTTGTTTTTGTTTTGTTTTTTCACACAGGGTGTGTGTGAAGAAATTTATATATTTTTTTTAAGGCAGGAAGCATTAAATTGATAAAACATGATGTTACTTTCTCTTCATCAAAGAATTCTGAAAAAGATGTCTCATTTTCATTGATAATAAGAAATGTTAATCGAGCAGCAAATCAGCATATTAGAATGACTTCTGGAGGATCATGTGGAATAATGATTCTGAAAATGATTTGAAATTGTAATATTTCACAATATTACAGTTTTACTGTATTTTAATCATCAAATAAATGCAAACGTCGTGATGAGCTAAAAAGACTTCTTTCCAAGTCTCTCCAATCTCAAACTTTTGTATGTTTTTAGCTTAATTTCATTTTTAAATAAATTAGCTATTAGCTAATAAATCAAGGCATAGTGCATCATGAGAATGTCATTGACATGGCACTCTTTACTTGGGAATTAAGAACTTTACATGTGCAATTATAATTGGATTGTATATCTATGATGGACATAATTTGCATTCCCGATACATTCCCGATACCGATACCTGGACTTGGCCGGTACCAAGTATTGATCCGATATCTGGGTGTGTACAGTATTTATACAGCTGCAATTCATACTAGCCCTGTATGAATTGATAGAATTATTTTATGGTGTGCTTCAGAGTTATCCCTTTAATAAAACGTGAATAAATGCATACAGTGAACTAGAGTATGTTTATTATCTGACATACATTTCACAGCAATATATTATTTATTTTTCTTAAGTGAAAAAGAATGCAGCCACACACATCTAATACTCTAAACTGATAATGCATTTTAGATTTACAATATAATTGTGTAAAAAAGTGCAACAAATAAATCTAGGGATCAAAAAAATATATATAAATAAATGAAAAATATAAGAAAACAATGTCTTTATAATTTAAAGTCCAGAAACAATTTTGTTAAATAAACGGCATTTCAGTTTTGACAGCGGCTGGTCATCCAGAACAATAAACTATTTTTTACACAGACAATTATTTATTTGTTTGACCATTTTGACGGTATATTTGTCGCTCATCGGCTGTCTTTTGTAAAATTTTCTCTTTGTTTGAATGAAGCTTCCAGAAGCTTAACTCAACCTGCTCTGCCCTTGCCATCATGTTCTGGATTGACACGTGTTCAAAATGCTTTATTAAGTGTTGAAGCTGCTAATCTTGTGTCACCCCTCAAAATTGCAGTATGGCATATAATGATACATGATGTCGCTGTTTTACTGGCTGGTTGGTCCAGTCTTAAATACTTAAATTAATTAAATTAAAATGCTGCTCCAAACAGTGGTTGCTTGTGGCAACAGCACAACTTCCTGTGTTACCACAAGCTATTTTCTTTGGTATCGGCGGCATTTCCGATACAAGTATCGTAATCGTAACAACTCTAGTTTTAATACGTACATCATACATGATTGCCAAATTCATATGGTATATTTACGAGTTATACCAAGCCATTCAAAATACCATATCCCCAAAAAATCATGGTCATACTTTGAAAGTTTCTTCCTCCTGTTTGGATGTACTACCCGTGTCATTTCTGCTGATGGAACGAATGAGAGCTGAAGCGAACGTTCACCCATGCATCAGTACCTCAGCACACAATCAGCGCTGTATAATTAGCCCTGGTTTTCAAACACTCAGTGGCCTCGTTTTCGGTTTATGGGGCATGCTGAGTCTGACAGCAGAAAGCTATAATTGCAGTGATGTAATCCATCTGAAGGTACAAAGAGGCCCATTCTCATCTGGCATCTCTCGAGGGAGCCATCGGTACAGTGTTGCCATGGCAGAGCCGCCTGGGAGTGTCCGGAAAGCCAATTTGCTGCTACTTCGGTGCTTCAAATTATTACATAATATGCTTTATGGCTCATAAGGAACATCGTTCGTGGTCATCCCGCACTTCTTCCTTAATTTGTGTGGGCTGTAATGGCCAAAGGGAGAGCGATGACAGTGGGGGAAGGCGTGCCATTATGCATTCAGTGCCATTTCCTACTGTGATTACAGGATGCTTGACCCTTCACATGCCGTTTGTGTTAACATGCAGCGCTCTGGTGCTCTGTGCATTAGTTAACAATAAGATCCCACAACCAAGGCCTGCACAACCTTCTAGTGGCCTGGCCAAACGCTCTGCCGGCAGAAGAGGTTTGTAATATATCTGTCAGATAGGGCTAACAAAAGCTGAACGTGGCCTGCAGCATCAACAGTGAATGATCACATTATTGTCGATGCAGCCTGTGGCGGGATAGTCAACGATAAAGGCAAAGGGCTTAAAACACAGTTGTTTAAAATGTTATGTGAATAATTAACATCTGTAATTTCTGCACATAATGCCTTGCATTTTAAATGAATACAGGAGTGAGAGACACAGTGAAGCTTGAATAGAGAATATTGTAGCTGTATATGTTTAGATGCAGGTGAAGAAAATACAGGCTTTACATCTCATGTTTCAATAGTAAAGTAACTAATTGCTGATCTGAGTCATTCAGTGTTGGGTTGTCAAGTGGTTCCCTCAGGCTCTTACATCCACTGCTGTGTACACTAGAGACCTTTAGTTACCTTAGATCTGTGGCAACATCACAGGCCAGCTATCACAGGGAATTGGATTATTTTTGTAACAGTGGAAAATTCTCAAAAGGAAGGGTATTGGGGATCTGTTTTGTGTGAATAGTCTTAGTGATTGTGTGAGTGAATTAATGTATTTTTTACTTTATTTTGGCGTGTTCATAAATATGGGCCAATGAATCACACTCAAAATACAACCGAGGGATGCGGAAAGTCCCTTTTATGTACTAACATTTACAATTGACTTCCTGCAGACTGGGGTGTTTAACACCTCGTCTTTGTTACTGAATCCAAAAAACTCCCACAGTGGTGAGTTCACTTTTTTTCAGGTGTGAGTTGTAGCCTATGTTTAGTTTTATCACACAATTGTGTGCAGCAGTAATAGCTAAACACTGCTTTGTTGTCTTTTTTATGTTTTATGATGGGTAAAAACTAGTTAAGGTATCAGTATTGCCATGTTGGAGTGTCAACGAGAAAATGTCTGGCGCTTGTTTATTTACGGTAGTATCGTATGTATAGGATTAACACAATGAATATATATATAATATTTTTCTATATTGCGACACCTCTAGTCATAATATAAGCCTATCACTGGCCTGCACTTCACAGAAATATATTTTTCAAGAATGTCACTCTGTCCCCAGTAGACATTTGTTTTCGGTTCATGTACACACAGAGAATTGTCGTGTTTTTTTTTTTTAAGGAAATACTGCCAGACAACATATTTCAGTTTTAAAAAGTAAAGCTTCTCGCACTTTCTGCCTTCCCAGTGTCCCACCGTCAGCATGTCCTCAGAAGCGTCATCTCCTGTGAAGTCCACCACCCCTCCTCTGTCCCCGCTGTCCCCGACCTCTCCGGTGTCCCCCAGCTCTCTTCGTCTGCCCGCATGTCGCAACAGAGACCGGTCGCCCTCCCCCATGAGGGGATACCTGATTCCCAGTCCCCTGCCCACCCGCCGCAACCGCACCTGCTCAGCGTGAGTACAGCAGCACATCCTCTACAGACCCATCCACTGTTTTAACCTGTATGTATGTACCTATACTAGTTTAGTCTAATTCTGCTCTCTGTCCTGCAGAGTTTAGCTCCTCCAACCTTATTAAACACACCTTAACCAGCTAATCAAGCTCTTACTAGGCATAGAATCTTCCAGGCAGATGTGTTGAGGCAAGTTGGAGTTAAACTCTACAGGACAGTGACCCTTCATGACTGAGTTTGGAAACTCCTGCTTTATACACACTAGATATCAAAAGTTTCGGGTTAGTAAGAATATTATTATTTTTACTTTTTGAAGGATGTCGCTAATACTCACCAAATAAGAAGAGTAACATTGAAAAAAATTCTATTTGAAAAGTTGTCAAAGCATCATTACTCCAGTCTTCAGTGTCACATGATTCTTCAGAATATAATGATTTGCTGCTCAAGAAATAAATGCATTATCATCAATGTTGAAAATGTGATAGATTTTTTTAGGATTGTTTGATGAATAGAAATGGTCATTTTTGCTGATTGAGTATAGAGTAATATTTTTGTCCCTTTACCCTCACAGTCAAGCGCGTGCAGCTGAGGGCCCGGTCTTCAGTGGGGTCTGCAAGTGCTTTTCACGTTCCAAAGGACACGGTTTCATCACGCCATCAGACGGAGGCAATGACATCTTTGTGCACATATCTGAGTGAGTTCACTGGGCGAACATCTTCAGCCGAGTCCTACGTCAAAGCCAACACACATTCCACCAGAAACCCAGTTTAGTCTAAAATCACACGTATCAACAACACCATGATTATTAGTGACGCAAAGATGCAAACACAAATCATCATTAATATGCAGCCCAAATTAGAGTTCATAAATGTTAGCCCTCCCAGTGTGTTTGTAGATGTATTTGAACTGATCATGCGGGAGGGGCTTCTGGGAAAAGAAACTTGTGGAGTGTGTGAAAGGTTTTGGCGTCAGGTCTAAGTTTAGTACTTGAGAATGAGAGATAAGAGTGCTTGACTGACATCTTTCAGATAAAATATGTTGAAAAAATGGATAGACTTGTCAGCTGTTCAAACATTCTGTATTTCAAATTATTTTGTGATTCACAGAAAGAGCATTTGCGCCCTTTTGTAACTAACTTATTCTCAAGAGTTGTTTAATTTTAACTACATACAATTACATTCTGCAGGTAACTTAAAAATCATAGTGATTTAATTATATAAGAATTACATTTTATTTGTCCAATTTGACTTGCTTGTCTTTTTGTTTTCTATTTGATGCACTTTTTAAACTGATGACCTCCATTCTTCCAACAGCATCGAGGGTGAATATGTGCCTGTGGAAGGAGATGAGGTCACCTACAAGATCTGCTCTATTCCACCCAAACATGCAAAGATCCAGGCCGTTGAGGTGACCATCACTCATTTAGCACCAGGCACGAAACATGAGACCTGGTCAGGAGCAGTGTTTGAATCATGAGGTCCTTGAAAACAGCAGCTCTCTGAATCTGAACTCTTACATACTGTCGAAAAGGGTTTCTGTTTCTTTTCTGGAGGTATGGGGGAAAGCGAACAGGGATGAATGAATGAATGCCTTTAAGCGCTGTGTGTGACGTGACATGCAAATTTTTAGCTTTTTTTCTTTATTTGGATTAAGGAAGGGAGTTTGTTATAAATAATCTTGACTATTTGGTTTGTTTAATTATGTGGCATGAACCATAATCAGTTATACGTGCATTAAACATCTGTGAATTGCTGACCGATTTGATTACTCTTAAAGGGATACTCCACCCAAAAATGAAAATTCCGTCATGATTTACTCACCCTCAAGTTGTTGCAAACCTGTATGAGTTTCTTTCTTCTGCTGAACACAAAGGAGTATATTTTGAAGAACGATTGGAACTTTAACACCATTGACTTCAATGGTATTTTTTTTTCTACTTTGGAAGTCAATGGTGCCAAACGTTCTTCAAAATATCTTCCTTTGTGTTCAGCAGAAGAAAGAAACTCATAGAGGTTTGCAACAACTTGAGTAAATTGTCAATTTTCATTTTTGGGTGGAGTATCCCTTTAAGAACTGATTACACACTCTTAACAGGAAGCCTTAACACATCTAATATGTAGATTTCACTCTTTTTATTCACTGAAAATAAAACTTGTTCACTGTGTATGTGTACATTATTGTGATTAATAAAATTATTCCGATCATTTTTCATGTGCATGTGTGTTTCTTTGTCATTTTGCTTCAAAGACGGGCAAGAACAAAAAAATATTCAAATTGTCATATTTATTTTAGAACTTCCTCAGACAACATTAAGGTTTTATGTATAAATTACCTCAGTTTTTTAATCTAATTTTACTACATATAACAGTGTAAACCAGTTTTTTTGTAATTAATATAAGTATCAATACACATTTCTATATTAAATACTGACTTTGCAGAGTACAAACAGACTTTTACATTTCGAGTCCCTGCTGCCGCCTGTCCACAACATTAAAAGGAACATTTAAAAGGCATTCAAAACAACATTTCTACATTACACTGACATGGAACACATTACCACGTAGGAATAACATCTGATTACCAAAGCCTTACCACGCAACGTCCCCCACAAATTAGCCCTGTTATTTAGTGCACTTTCCCTTGTTATATTCGCATTATCATGGAATCATTATCATTAATAGAGACGTTCGCAAAGACCCGCCTTTTTTAGTATGTGACGAGCCACGAGCCAGGCGGGTCTCACGAGTCACGCATATGTTCTCATGCACTCACGCAGTGAAAAATACATCGCGGGGCAAAGACTACACCGAGTGATTACGAGAGAGAGAGTTCATAGCAGCTTACTGATGATATGAAACAAAGTCTCAACTTTCAAATATTGTCATTTAAGTAATTTAAACAATACCGTTTTCAAGTTCATATCCACCGACGTTACTGACAGCTTTGTTGTCGGACAAAGTTGCTTATTCGGCGTTATGATTGGCCAGGCCACCTGTCAATCAAACCCCCGTGGGCAGCAGCCGGGCAAAATTGAAACGTCAGGTTTTAATTTGATATGACAAATACATTTATTCTATATTTAACTTGTGAACGATCGACCTGCTGCTGCAAGTAGGCCTATAGATGATGGCTGCCTGCGCCTTATTAGAATACATCAACCAATAAATCGCCCTTCACTTCATTCTAGTCTAGTCTTAAAACACAGCGTCATCGTCGACCCCACAAGCTTTCGGTAAGTTTGAATTTTAACTTGATGGATAATTTTGCTTTTTGTGTTTGATATTCGCCTAAAGGACTGGCGATAATATATCCCAACCCGGTATCACGACAACACGTGAAATAATCACGTTGGTCCACTTTGGAAAACGTGTAGATGTCACGGTTTAACCCCTTTAAACGTGAAACTTACACGTTTGCGTTAACACATTCCAGTGGAGAGTCCAAAGCTGAGGGAATTTCGAGGCTGGTATATCCTGCTCTCTCCTTGTATGTTAACTCTAAAATGTGCACAGATATTGACAGGGCCATATTTAAGTTAATTTGGAAAAACAGGACTGAATATATAAAACGAAAAACGATTATTAGAGCTCTTTCGGAGGGTGGGCTCAACGTTCTTGATTTCAGTACTCTTAACACCGTTTTTAAAATTAACTGGATAAAACACTGCTTGGCCCAAAATAACTCTATATGGTTTTATATCCCCAATTTGTTTTTTGAAAAGTGTGGAGGGTTAAAATTTTTATTATCATGTGACTTTAAATGTAGTAAACTTAATAAAATTATCGAATTTTCACAAGCAAGTGCTAGATGCATGGAAACTTGCCTTTAAACATAATTTTCCCCCTCACACTTGTATAATATGAAATAACCAATATGTATTATCTAAAAGGAAAAGTATATATAAAAGAGAATGGTTTGATAAGGGAGTTATTTTTATTTCTGACTTATTAAACTCTAATGGTGAGATCTATAACTATCAGCAATTTCTTGCTCTCTCAGGGATTGAATCTACATGTAGAGACTACCGTATGATTGTTAAAAGCATATCCATTAAATTACTTCATCTTGTGAAAGCGCATCTCAGTTACAACTCAGTGTTGCGGCAGATTCCTAAACTTATTATTGGAGGTGTGAATATTTTGGATCTGAAGTGTAATAATTCTTATATCAGAAAGTGTCTTAATCAAGATGTAAGTTGCTACTCTAAAGCAATTGTGAAATGGAAACAATTCTTCTCTTCTGTCCCCTCTTCTGAGACAATCTGGTCTGCAAGTAATACATTTTTACTGCCAAATAAGGTCAAAGAAACTCATTTCAAAATACTACACAGATATTATCCCTGTAATGCTTTTCTTAATAAGTTTAAAAAAGACTTCTCTCCATTATGTTGTTTTTGTAATATTGGCTCTGAAACTCTATACGCCTTATTCACGCCAGCGCCATCTTTGATTTTTAATGAGAATGAAAGCGAGGCTGTGAGGGATAGACTTGCATCTCTTCAATGGGCTGTACTGTTATTTAATGTGTTTTCGGATTGTTCTGCTCATGAAACACTGGAAAAATATCTTTCTAAGAAATTTCAGTTGACAAAAAACTCCTGACAATGTAAGTTGTGGAAAATTGTAAGTAATCTAGGAGCTTTATTCAGCTTTTTAAAGCGGATGCCATTGGAAACACGGTAAGTCTATCCCTCACAGCCTCACTATCACACCTGTCATGGCGCTGCTCTGAATAAGGTCTATTACATTTATTTTGTAATTGTAAATATAAAGACTTCTGGAAGCAAGTTTCTATGATGTTTTTTGATACATTCTACAAAATAAATAATCAGAATAGATGAGGCAATGATTGTCTTTTTAGATTGTAATACTGGCTCAGACATAATTGATAACACTTTAAAGTTAATAATTCTTCTTGGGAAATTTCATATTCATAAAGCCAAAGTAATGTCTATAAAACCATCTTTTAATTTCTTTTGTAAAGATGTTAAAATATTCCATGACTCATTGATTTCAACTACTAGAAATAAGAAGTGTATAAAAACATCTCAAATTTTGGAAAAAAATAGTTTGTAGAATTTAATGTTTTACTCTGTACAATGTAAGATCTGTTATGTGTTTTCCCCATTATGTGTTTGTCTTTTGCTGTAAAATGTCATTATAAGCTTTTGTAAAAGTTGAATAAAAAAAAAAAAAAAAAAAAAACATTCCAGTGGAGAGATACATGTAAATGTATAGATAAATGTATAGAGAGCCTAAGTCCCGCCCCTCCGCTTCCGGCTCATGGGACCTTATTTCGGAAAAAATATGAATGGTAACGTTAGTCAATGGCGAGAGACAACTTATCTTTTTATTCCGTCTGAACTGTGCCCTCAATTACACATATGATGTTTGTCAATTTAAAAGATAATTCTGAAAGTCAAAAACGTCGCAGTTTGACATACAACAGAAGAGTAACATTTAGTTTTATGTGAAAATCGCTCAGTGAATTACACTCCCGGGAAGCGAAACGAGATCCGCTGCTCGTGTGTGTCTGGTACAAAACACTCAGGTAGGACGGCGTAACGTTACGATTATAACGTAAGACTGAAGAAACAATGACAGACAGCCTCAGTAAAGTTAGCTTCATTCATTGAGAGAAAATGTGCGCCTTTGGGGTTTGTAGTCTTTGTAATTACGTATTTTCACAGTCTTATACCTCAACGGTTTTGCATCAAACTGCGACTTTCTTTACTTTAAAATGTATCTTTTAAATTGACAAACATCATATGTGTAATTCAGGGCACAATTCAAACGAGATCAAAATATTTGTTGTCTCTCGCCATTGACTACCATTCAATATTTTTCCGAAATAAGGTCCCATGGTGGTCGACCGGAAGGGGAGGGACTTAGGCTCTCTATAACATTACAAATGCAGCGAACACACTAATGTCTCCTAATCTGTAAGCACTACGGTGCTAACGGCACTGAAGTTACAGGAGTTTCTTCCCGTTACCAAGCAACGGTAGGTCGAGTATTTAAAAGGTTATGGTTAACACGGTTAACGTGGTTTAACGTCGATGTAATTCGTTGTTTTAGCGAACCTTTTGCTTAAACGAGGAGCTGGGGGACGCCGGAAAAATAGACGTTTTACTCATTTGGCTACTTCATTAAAACGTGACGTTTTTTTCGGCGTGGATCAAGGCAAATGAATCCTTTTCACCTTGAAAATAATATTTTTTTCGCACAAAAAACCAGGGTCGGGTTTTTTTTTTTGGGTCGAAATTTTGAGTTCCTCTAATCTTCTTGAAACTCTGGATTCTGATAGAGGGCCATGAGACTTAGACCTGAGTGCAAAAATGGAGGCTCTAGACCCTTCCAGAGCTGAGATATGGACATCCCACGTAGCATTTATGCCATTATAAATATCTCAATATCTCAGCTCTGGAAGGATCTAGAGCCTCCATTTTTGCACTCAGGTCTAAGTCTCATGGCCCTCTATCAGAATCCAGAGTTTCAAGAAGATCAGAGAAACTCAATTTCAACCTGGAAAAAAAAAACGACAGTGGAACCCCTGTCGTTTTTTTTTTTGGTCGAAATTTTGAGTTTCGATATCTCAGCTCTGGAAGGGTCTAGGATTTTGCACTATAAGTCTCATCCCTCTATCAGAATCCAGAGTGAAAAAATGGAGTCTCAAGACCCTTCCAGAGCTGAGAATGGACATCCCACGTTTTTTTTCTGCCATTTTGAATTTCGATATCTCAGCTCTGGAAGGGTCTAGAGCCTCCATTTTTGCACTCAG